CTATTTAAATACCAATGACAAAAGTATTTTGTAATTGTATTTAAATATTTCAAAGAAGGTATTTTGTTTGAAATACTGAATCAATCTTAAAATATGAGGATATCCAAAGATGTGAAATATGTTTTTTTAAAAGTATTTCAATATCTCCAAAATGCAAATTCTTTTTTGATTTGTTATTTCAAATGTACAATACAAAATAGATTTCCCTTTTGTATTTTAAATGCTAAATGCAAAACACGTATTTTCAAATAAAAAATTTTTTGTAGTAGCTACCTGTTTTCTACATTTACTTAAGTATAAAATGTTTTTTAAGAAAACCTTGCAGGTATTTGCTTATTTTTAAAATATTGAAGTTTTATCTAGACTAATAGTGCTTTTTGTATTATATCATCAGCTCAGAAGATGGAGTATGATTTATATTTTTCTGTTTGAACTCATTGATATACAATTTTTCCATCTTTATGTTATAGTTTCTTCACTTCAGCAACAAATAATTTTTCTATATGCTCCCTCATTTGCCGTTGTCATCCGTTTCAATTGAGGAAAAGATACTGATTCCAAAATAGTTTGTTTAGCATGAAAGATCAGAGCCAAAATAAGGTTGCAAATAATTTTATTGGTGTAAAATCAATATCATCATCATTTTATATTAAAATACTTACAATCCCATTTTGTTTCTGATCTGTTACACATTGTAATAAGAGAAAGAAATAGAATCCATAGTTTTTTTAGCTTTGGGTTCATCTAATAATTTTGGAGTATAGGCATTTATCAGCACACTACAATATCTTATAGTTTTAATCTAATCTAGGTCTACACCTACCCCTCCTAACTTTCGTTTCTTTAATATGTCTCTGACTAGACCTTCATGCCTAAGAGGGTTGTCCTACCAGCCTATCTCGCCTATTTCTTATTGACTTCCATAGAGTCCTCTGCTCTCTTACTCTTTCTAATACCTCTTAATTTATAACCTTCTCTATCCAGGGTATCCTCATCATTTGCCTATAACATCACATTTCGAACGCTTCCAACCTTTTCTTTTCCGCCGCGCCCACTGTCCATGTTTCGCACCCGTACAACGCCGTGCTCCAGACATACACCTTTAACAACCTTTTTCGAATTTCTAAATTAAGCGTTCGCGAGCATGGAAGTGACTTCTTTTTATTGAAGGCAGCACGACCCTGCACTATCCTCTGTTTTATATCCCTACTACTCCTTCCGTCCTGACTTATCTGACTTCCTAGATACCTGAAATCGGACACTTCTTCTAATTTTTCTATCTTTATATTCGCTCTTTCCCTACTTTTCCCTCCTTTGCAAACCAGTATTTTTGTTTTAATTTTATTTATTTTCATAACAGTACTGTTTTGTCAAACCGCTTCCATTTTATTTAATGCTACCTCCTTTCTAGATGCTAATACTCCTATATCATCTACAAATCTAAGCATATTAATATTTTGCCCCTGTATATCTATCCCTACAGTTGTACTGTCTTCAATGATGTTGATCGCGTCTTCGATGTATAGATTAAAAAGTAGTGGTGACAGTGTGCATTCCTGTCTGACTCCTTTCTTAATATTTACTTCTCTACGTTGCATCCCTAGCTATATAACTGCCTGTTGCTCTTTATACAAACTAAGTATCACTCTTCTATCTTTGTAACTCATCCCTACATTTTTAAGTATATTTAACATTTTGTTCCATTTATCATTGTTAAAAGCTTTTTCTAAATCTATAAATCCTATGTACACCCTCTCTTTTTTTTTCTGTCGTTTTCTCTATTGTTACCCGGAAATCTAGAATGGCCTCCCGCGTTCCTTTATTTCTTCTAAACCCAAATAGATTTTCCTAGCGTCCTACATGTTTAGAATTTCCCCCTGTATCCCATCTACACCTGACGCCCTATTATTGTTTAAGTTTTTTAATGCTACATCGAACTATGACATGGTCTAGATAAATTCCAACAACTTTCTTTCTCAGATTATCCAGACGTTACTGTATTGAGAAACTACATCAGCCTATTTGTGTGTCATTATTATGAGCAATCCTGTAACAGTATAATGAAATTTACCTCCTCTCCACATCTTGTACACGATGGTGCAGCAGGTGATACCATCTTTTTGCGAGATGTAGGACAGCTACATGGACCAACAAAAGAAAGCAAATGTTCCTTCATTGCCGTGGTCATAGGATCTTCCGTATCATTACAATTACACCTGCAGTGGTGTACTGCATCGGAACCATAAACGTAAGGAACCTCTTTGTAACTTTCAGGCACATTTTCCTTTCGTGGACTGCTATCACCAACTAATTGAGGATAACTAAATAAAAATAAATAGCTACAATATATAGAATTATTTCTTAATAACTCATTAATATAAAATACACTTGAAGCAAAAGTAATGTGTTATGTGAAACTTGAATTTAACTCTAGTTGAAAACCATCTTGAGAGACAATTTTTTGACCTGAGAAGTATCCAGTATCTATCAACCTGAAGCCTGATTGTTTATTTATTATCATTACTTACAATAATCATTCATTAATCAAATTCTCTTCTAATTTAAACATTTTGCGCTTACCATCGCTCAGAACGTTTTTTAAATTCAAGTAAATAGGTACTCCTTACTAACAAAGGGCTGATAACCAACCCAAATAGGAAAATATTTAGCTTTAATTTAGGTAAAAGCATTTGATACCGATCTGTACCTAAGTTGAACTATTTAGAAATGGATAAAGCTACTTTCTAGGCTCCTTCCACTTAAATATAACTAGAGATGTGCAAAATGGTTTTTAAAAGTATTTAAATACAAAACTTTTTTAATTTGGTATTTCAAATGTAAAATACAAAATAGATTTCTCTTTTGTGTTTTAAATGTTACATGCAAAATACGTATTTTCAAAATACTTTTTTGTAGTACCTATTTAATTTCCTATATGGACTAATGAACAGTGGATTGATAGGATGTGCAAAGAAGTAGAAAAAAGTTTGAAGTAGGTAAAACCGATGAGGCTTATAATATAATTAAAAGGAATTTTAGAGATGTAGGGTACAGTAGTAATAATATAAGAAACGAGGCAGGAGTCATTCTGATAGAAACTGAGGAAAAGGCAGATATGTGGAAAGAATATTTAGAGAATCTATACGCAGACCCTGAGCTAGGAGAGATATTAGAGAACGAAGATAGTGTGGAGATAGATGAGCTACGTTATCCCATAATGAGAGAAGAGTTCGATATAGCAATAAAAAACTTAATGAATAATAAGGCATCAGGTGTAGATGGGATACAGGGGGAAATTCTAAAACATGCAGGAAAAGAGATCGTATGGTTAAGCTAGTTAGTCACATTTACGAGACGGGGAAACTTCCAGAGGATTATAAAGGAAACGTGTGGTAGTAACCATACCTAAAAAGAGAGGCGCGGATAGGTGCGACACATTTAGAACAAATACCTTAACTTCCCATGCGTCAAAAATCTTAACTAGAATTGTACAGAAGAGGATGGATAAAAGGACGGAAGAACTATTAGGGGAAGATCAATTTGAGTTAGAAGAAATAAAGGAATGCGGGAGGCCACTCTAGCTTCACGGGTAACAATAGAGAAAACGATAGAAAAAAGAAAGAGGCGTATATAGGATTTGTAGATTTAGAAAAAGCTTTTGATAATGTTAAATGGGACAAGATGTTAAATATACTTAAAAATGTACGGATGAGTTACAAAGATAGAAGAGTGATACCTAGTTTGTATAAAAAGAAGAAGTGACCGATTTCAGGTATCTAGGAAGTCAGATAAGTCAGGACGGAAGGAGTAAGGGATATAAAACAGAGGCTAGTGCAGGGTCGAGCTGCCTTCAATAAAAAGAAGTCACTTCTATGGTCGCGAACGGTTAATTTAGAAATTTGAAAAAGGTTGTTAAAGATGTATGTCTGGAGCACGGCGCTATACGGGTGCGAAACATGGACAGTGGGCGCGGCGATAAAGAAAAGGTTACAAGCGTTTAAAATGCGTTGTTACAGGCGAATGATGAAGATACCGTGGATAGAGAAGGTTAGAAATGAAGAGGTATTAGAAAGAGTAAGAGAACAGAAGACTATGAAAGTCAATAAGATATAGGCGAGTTAGGTCAGTAGGACACCTTTTCAGGCATGAAGGTCTAGTCAGAGACGTATTAGAGGTAGAACCGGAAGTTAGGAGGGGTAGAGGTAGACCTTGATTAGATTACTGTTCGCAATTAGTTAAGGATATGGATTGTTCTAGCTTTAGGGAAATGCGAAGACTAGCGCAGGATAGGAAGGAGTGGAGATGCGTGTTCAACCAGTCTTAGAACTGACGACCTTATGATGATGATATTGACTTAAATATCAAATATTTATTAAGAAAACCTTGCAGGCTTTTTCTCAGTTTTAAAATATTGGGAGTTTTTCTAGACTAATAGTTTCTTCAGTTCAGTAACAAATAATTCTTCTATACCTAGGCTTCCTTATTTACCTTTGTCAACCGTTTTAATTGGAATAATGCCAAAATAATTTGTTTACCGTGAAAGATCAGAGCCAAAATAGGGTTGCAAATAATTTTATTGATATAAAATCGACATCAATCATATTATCAAAATATTTTGTTTCTGGTCTCTTATACATTGTAATAAAAGAAAGAAATGGAATCCATAGTTGCTTTAGCTTTGGGTTCATCTAATAAGTGACGTTTTCGGAATTGTTTTCTAAGAATTTTGGATTATAGGCATTTGTTAACACACCACAATATTTTGTAGTTTTCAGTTTTACACATCTGGCGTATATCAGTTCCACATTACTTTGCAGTTTGTTTTGTCGTAATTCATAGAATTTCGTAGTTCCTTGCTAGAGGTAAGATAAGTGGCGACTTGGCGGGTGCTGAACCCGGAAAACAATATCGATCCAATATTTTAGATTATCAATTTCCTAGGAGTTTAGATTTCTTTGGGCTTTCTTCAATTGAAGAATTAGAAAGCCTTCAACGAATGTCTCTTCGCTCATTTTTCAAACTTCTAATACCTTCAATGGCCAATGTGAGCAACTTTCGTTCATCACTACATAATATAAAACAAAGTCGCTTTCCCGCAGTCTGTCCCTATGTATGCTTAAATCTCTAAAACTACGCAACGGATTTTGATGCGGTTTCTTTTAAAAGATAGAGTGATTCAAGAGGAAGGTTTATATGTATAATACATGCATAATGTAGTAGAGAAACACTGATAATTTTAGAGGTTTCTAATGTGATGTCGTAAATAAACACATTTTTTGCGCTTACATTGCAAACNGATAAGACATACCTCCATTTTATCAGGTCCATTACTCCTGGACAATATGGGTTCATGTCTAGCAAATCAGCTATATATTCCTCTAATACTAACTTAATTTAGTTTATCATCAATATATTATTACTATTATCAAAAAAATCACGATCAAGATAAGGTTCAAACTATTTTCGTTATAATATATGCATCAATTTACGTCAAACTTAGTACAACCGACATGTAAGGACTAATACTTGTGCGTTTGAATCAGGAATTAAAACAAATGGAAGGATTGTATCCCAAAACGCAAACCATTACGAAATATTTATCTTAAAGGCTAATTCAATTAAGTTTGACTTGAAGAAAACTGTTCTAATCCTATCAAAGGACAAAAGGTAGCCATAATAATATTTGAGTGTTTTCACTAAAAAGGATTTGAATCGAAACTGTAAATACTATTATTAAGTTCCAACCTGCGTAATCCAGATTGCCGCTGTTTCCAAAACTCGTTCAGTTCCTTCATGAAGGGAAGAGGTTTTGGAGGACCGTCTTTTCTACATCGGCCATGCCCAGTATCCCTCTTTAAATCCTGTGAACCATCGTAACATGGATTCCTTGTATTTTTATCATTTTTATGATTATCCCTAATACCATGCTTGGAAGAACTTTCTCTTTGTGGTGATTCTCCAATATTAAATAAATCAAGAGAATTGAATTCGTCAGGTACGATATCCCTGTAAACGATATAACGAGAGGGATCAGACGAACTACTAGCTACCACATTCCTAATCCCCTTAAGATTTACCCCTTCACAACCCTCGAGGCAACTAGAACCACTCGCGTGTTTTTCATTAAAAGAATCCCGTGTTTTACACTTGTTATTTTCCTTTTTTAACAGTGAGCATTTATCTTCTTCATAATTAAATGCAACAAGATAATTTTCGTAAGTCCCGCAATTCTCTTTCCGGTAGATATGGCGTGAACAGTATGAATTGCTTTTGACTAATATTCTTTTGTTTAGAACGCATTTTTTTCTAATGGAAATTTCACTTGAAGATCTCCGAATATTACTGTCTTCGTTCACAGCTTTTGTGATGAATATGTAGAATGAGCTCCTACTCAATTTATTTATAAATAAAACATTATGTTCATCATCTGAACTTGGAGAATGTGAAGATGCATCACTAGAATGACATTTATTTCTGAACAGTACTTGGCAATCATAATTTTTCCCTGGCTTCATGTTATGCTTATCTTTTGTGGTATATTTAAAAAAAGAAGGAATACTTTTCGATAAAAGTAAACTTCTTTTCGTTCTGTGCTGTGTTAAATCTGTTACTGAAGTTTTCTTAAGACAGCAGTGGGTTTTATTTTTTATTAGACGATTTTGTTCTTTCTTTAATTTTACTATTCTTTTGTTTTCATCAAAGCATTCCACAACATCTTTAAAGTCAATTTTTTTGTAACACATTCTTTTACTTCTAATATTGTTATTACAATTACGACTGTTGTACTTCTGGTTTGTATAATATTGATCAATATCATGAGTGTCAACATACTGATCTATCTTCAAAGTCTTGTTACTAATTAATGCTGTCACAGCTTTATCTGCTTTTGGACTAACAAGGAGTTCGTAATTAACAGCAACATCAACAAAGCGTTTGTTGTTGTTTTGTTCAATGATTGTTCTTTTGTTAATATTTTTTTCTGACGTGTCTGATTTGCTTGTAATGTTTTTGCTTTCGCTTATTGTATTACTAAAACTGCTAGTTTTTAGGGTGAAATTCCAACAACGGCTTTGGGATGTATCACGGCCACAACTGCTACATTTTACATATCTTTTTTGTGGACTAGTTCGGTTATAAATATTGTTTTCAATTATCTCATCGCTGCTCTTTTCTGAATCAAATCGCCTTATAAAGAAGATTTTAATAGATTTCTCTAAATCTTCAGATATCGAAGATTCGATTATTCCCTTCTTTTTCAACTGTTCATCGATGTAACGTGCGAGCCATTTCAGTTTTGATTTATCTTTTCGTCGTTTTCTCTTCTTTTTCATGGTCCTGTCAATTACCAAAATTATTTTGAAAATCTTAACGGAAGACTGAAATTGTATAGCTTTGCTTGAAGTCCCTTAACGGTTTCATCTTCATCACTTTAGTGTTAATTTCCACTTTTGATTTCTTTTATACTCCAATTTTACAACAAAAAAAAATGTTCACTACAAGACACGGACTTCCTTAACGATCTGATTACTTTAAATTTTGTTGGGAGTATGTAAAGTTGACGATGTGACAAAAATTTTTTGTTCAGTCATACATATAATTCATTCAAAATATTGTTAAAAATGGAATCGTAATAAAGAAAAACTCCCACGTCAAAAGGCTAGCAGCAAAAACAGTAGACGGTACGCATAAAGTTCATCAGACATAATATAGATCTTACATTTTTAAAGTAGTCACTTCATTCTATTTACGTTATAGTTTCTTTATTTCAGCAACAAATAATTCTTCTATATACTTCCTTATTTGCCATTGTCACCCGTTAAACATAAAAAAAAAAAATTCATGAGCATGTTACAATGAACTGATTTTGATTTGATTCATTCCCACCAGCCACTAATGCTGGTGGGCGGGCAGCCCTTCGGACTACGCCGGAAGATAGGGCGGAAGACTCTCTTCAGATTCCTTTCAGGAATCGTGGGGGTGGTGGTTCGAGTGAAAAAGATGAGACGGACGAAATGAAGACAAAAGATAATAAAAGATTTTCTGCGGAATATTACTGCCCTAGGCATTTTCCTAAATGATCCAAGGAAACAACAGAAAAACTTGGATCAAGGCAGACGGACCCGGAATCGAACCGGCCATGCCGCTCGGTAGTATATGATATTCCTCCATTTTATCAGGTACATTACTCCTGGACAATATGGGTTCATGTCTGGCAAATCAACTATATACTGCTCTAATACTAACTTGATATAGTTTATCATCAATATATTATTATTNTCAAGATAAGGTTCAAACTATTTTCGTTATAATATATGCATCAATTTACGTCAAACTTAGTACAACCGACATGTAAGGACTAATACTTGTGCGTTTGAATCAGGAATTAAAACAAATGGAAGGATTGTATCCCAAAACGCAAACCATTACGAAATATTTATCTTAAAGACTAATTCAATTAAGTTTGACTTGAAGAAAACTGTTATAATCCTATCAAAGGACAAAAGGTAGCTATAATAATATTTGAGTGTTTTCACTAAAAAGGATTTCAATCGAAACTGTAAATACTATTATTAAGTTCCAACCTGCGTAATCCAGATTGCCGCTGTTTCCAAAACTCGTTCAGTTCCTTCATGAAGGGAAGAGGTTTTGGAGGACCGTCTTTTCTACATCGGCCATGCCCAGTATCCCTCTTTAAATTCTGTGAACCATCGTGACATGGATTCCTTGCATTTTTATCATTTTTATAATTATCCGGAATATTGTGCTTGGAAGAACTTTCTCTTTGTGGTGATTCTCCAATATTAAATAAATCAAGAGAATTCAATTCGTCAGGTACGATATCCCTGTAAACGATATAACGAGAGGGATCAGACGAACTACTATTTATCACATTCCTAATCCCCTTAAGATTTACCCCTTCACAACCCTCGAGGCAACTAGAACCACTCGCGTGTTTTTCATTAAAAGAATCCCGTGTTTTACACTTGTTATTTTCCTTTTTTAACAGTGAGCATTTATCTTCTTCATAATTAAATGCAACAAGATAATTTTCGTAAGTCCCGCAATTCTCTTTCCGGTAGATATGGCGTGAACAGTATGAATTGCTTTTGACTAATATTCTTTTGTTTAGAACGCATTTTTTTCTAATGGAAATTTCACTTGAAGATCTCCGAATATTACTGTCTTCGTTCACAGCTTTTGTGATGAATATGTAGAATGAGCTCCTACTCAATTTATTTATAAATAAAACATTATGTTCATCATCTGAACTTGGAGAATGTGAAGATGCATCACTAGAATGACATTTATTTCTGAACAGTACTTGGCAATCATAATTTTTCCCTGGCTTCATGTTATGCTTATCTTTTGTGGTACATTTAAAAAAAGAAGGAATACTTTTCGATAAAAGTAAACTTCTTTTCGTTCTGTGCTGTGTTAAATCTGTTACTGAAGTTTTCTTAAGACAGCAGTGGGTTTTATTTTTTATTAGACGATTTTGTTCTTTCTTTAATTTTACTATTCTTTTGTTTTCATCAAAGCATTCCACAACATCTTTAAAGTCAATTTTTTTGTAACACATTCTTTTACTTCTAATATTGTTATTACAATTACGACTGTTGTACTTCTGGTTTGTATAATATTGATCAATATCATGAGTGTCAACATACTGATCTATCTTCAAAGTCTTGTTACTAATTAATGCTGTCACAGCTTTATCTGCTTTTGGACTAACAAGGAGTTCGTAATTAACAGCAACATCAACAAAGCGTTTGTTGTTGTTTTGTTCAATGATTGTTCTTTTGTTAATATTTTTTTCTGACGTGTCTGATTTGCTTGTAATGTTTTTGCTTTCGCTTATTGTATTACTAAAACTGCTAGTTTTTAGGGTGAAATTCCAACAACGGCTTTGGGATGTATCACGGCCACAACTGCTACATTTTACATATCTTTTTTGTGGACTAGTTCGGTTATAAATATTGTTTTCAATTATCTCATCGCTGCTCTTTTCTGAATCAAATCGCCTTATAAAGAAGATTTTAATAGATTTCTCTAAATCTTCAGATATCGAAGATTCGATTATTCCCTTCTTTTTCAACTGTTCATCGATGTAACGTGCGAGCCATTTCAGTTTTGATTTATCTTTTCGTCGTTTTCTCTTCTTTTTCATGGTCCTGTCAATTACCAAAATTATTTTGAAAATCTTAACGGAAGACTGAAATTGTATAGCTTTGCTTGAAGTCCCTTAACGGTTTCATCTTCATCACTTTAGTGTTAATTTCCACTTTTGATTTCTTTTATACTCCAATTTTACAACAAAAAAAAATGTTCACTACAAGACACGGACTTCCTTAACGTTCTGATTACTTTAAATTTTGTTGGGAGTATGTAAAGTTGACGATGTGACAAAAATTTTTTGTTCAGTCCTACATATAATTCATTCAAAATATTGTTAAAAATGGAATCGTAATAAAGAAAACCTCCCACGTCAAAAGGCTAGCAGCAAAAACAGTAGACGGTACGCATAAAGTTCATCAGACATAATATAGATCTTACATTTTTAAAGTAGTCACTTCATTCGATCCACACATGAGTGTCAACATTTCCTGAGGAAATGTTTTACTGAGTGCCGACTTACATTTTTGTATGTGAAAGTGAGACTGCCTATCTGTACGACTGGGTGGCTACATTGTAAAATAGTCAAATAGTCTAGTCGCAGAGTCGCAAAAATAAGCACTTTGCCGTTTGCTAGGTTAACTATGATATTCAAGAAACTCCCATTTTTGAAATTAGGTATTCAATAGTGCGAACATACACTCTCATTTATACAATCAAAAATCTGACTCAATACCTACTAAAGAAGTAAATGAATCATCAAAAAAAGATACTTGAGATTCACATTCTTGACATTCTACTCTCATTTTTATGCATTTAAAAATGGGAGGCCACACTAATCACTTGACTTTATGTATGCACTCAATGTCTCTGGCTAACTGGTGACAGATATACAAGGAGTTAGGCTTTAATAGGCCGCATTTTCTGGATAATGCTTGAAGATTCGGACGTGATGGCGGTGGTATAGGATTTTTTCTCCTTCGGAGAGAACACCGATGCATCCTCAGGGAAAACAACAAGGGCATAAAGTTCTCGTACCTTCTGAGATTCCATGCAACCGCAGCGTTCCCTAAGAATACCAGCCGCAATGGTCTCCACTCATCGAAGGAGAAGCAATCCTAGATCACAGCTATCAAACCTGAATGTCGGGCATTATTTATTCGCGGAGATGATTTTCACGTATGACTTCAGTAAAGACAATCTTGACCGTTAAGGGAGTTCGTGCGAACGATGTATTTCGGCATGCCTACATTTGGTGCCTAATACATAACAATGAAATTGAACATTCACAAGTGTCGTCAAGAAAATGTAAAAAGATATTTCCTCATAGTTGGTAATAATAATTCAAAAGTAATTTTTCAAACACACTGATTGAAAGTATTTCAGGCAATCTAAATATATCTGAAAACTATTATTAAATGGAAGTAGATAATTTTTTGGCAAGTACTCATATTCAATTGCAGACTAAGACTAACGTATTTATTATATTTTCAATTTGAATGTTTTCTTTAGAAAAAATGTACGCAAGAATTGGTTTCGTATATTTTTTATGGTCAAATTTAATGACATAAATAAGTTGAATTTTCAAACACATTTTTTAAAAA